GCTACGCTCTTGACAAAGCTAACCCCCAGGGAGAAGAAAACATTCTTTGCTTCCTGACGTCCCCCCCTTTACCTACCTATGCTGCCTAGCACAAGTTTAAAGCCGTTATTTACCGTGCGGGTTACGCGTGAGGATTTATTATTAACTAGTGCCGGTGGTTTGTGTGTAAGTTGATTTTCCCCCCTTGGTCCGGCAAACCTTTTACACTCTTCATCTTTCCATGTTTCTCTAAAGAAGAGGGACCAATGAAAACGTTGTCATGTTGCCGTTGGTCACCATGGAAACATTCATTAGCTAACAATGACATTATTGTTCTATTAATATAAAGGGAGGTCAGGTACTCTTTAAAACAGCTGCTAGTTATGGGTACTTTTTACTGAAGTACATTTCAAAGCCTCTTTACTTTTACTTGAGTAAAGAAGTTTAGTCAGTACTTCTACTTTCACCAGAGTATTTTTAAACACGAGTATCTGTACTTCTACTTGAGTAAAGGATGCGAGTACTTTTGCCCTCTCTGCTTAAAAATCCCTGTGCACTGGTGTTAACTCACCCCTAGTGACGTAAAGGTAGAAGAAGTCGCAGTAGAAGATGGTCTGCACGACGCCGGACACCACGGCGATCTGGTCGAAGAAGCCCTCCGTGTGGTAGCGCCACACCCAGTTGGCGATGTAGAGGGCCCGGTAGAGGCCCAGGAAGAACAGGTAGTGGGTGGTGATGGACTCCGCCTCGCCCGTCTTGGTGATCATGAAGAGCTGTGGCATTATGGCCACAGACTCCAGGAAGATGGAGAAGGTCCACAGGATCTGGAGGGAGTCAGTGGGAGAGACATTCATGAGTGGAACTGCTAACTGAGATGTTAAAAGTACTAATTAAAAGAGGTGTATTGTTCAGTCTGCCGCTATGTACATCACATTATTATTATATACCAGATTAGGTTTGTAAAAGATGTGCAAGTACATTTTTGTTTTAATTTTGCACTGTTTATATGTTGTTCTTTCTGTTGGTTGAGGTTTAATCAGATGTCGAAGAAGTATTCAAAGTTAAGCGGAAGTAAAAAAAAACTATGGTCTTTAAAAATTCCATAACTAGTAAAACTCCTGAGTTCAAAACTTTACTTAAAAGTATTAGGATCAAAATATACACATTCTGTAGTTGTAATGCAGATTATATATGATTAGCAGTACAGCACAGCATCATATCATATAAGGATTTCATAACCATGAATACATTTGGGGGGTCAAAAGTATGATATCTGCCTCTAAAATATATTGGAGTAAAGTATAAAGTAGCATAAACTACTGGGAGATACTCCCGTAAAGTCAAAATAATACTTAAAGGGGACCTATCATGCAAAATGCACTTTTGTACGTCTTGTATACATGAATATGTGTCCCCGGTGTTCCAGGGAACTCACCAAGTGTCAGAAAATACAACCCTCTCTCTTTTCCTCCATACCCAAATCTCTAAATACG